CAAATGATTATGATAGGAGATGAAACATGCCTTTACCTGTATGATCCTGAAGACAAAGCACAATCAAAGCAGTGGATACCAAAAGAAATAAGTGTCCCAGTCAAAAACAAAAGTGGACTGATAAGGAGCAAAGGTAGTGGTAACAGTCTTTTAAAATGCTCAATACATTTACTTGTTGAGTTTCTGGAGTGCCAAAGGAAGTAACAACTGTTTATTATAATAGTGTTTAGATTAGGTTAGCTAAAGCATTAGCAGAAAAATGCCGTAAAAGCTTCATTAGAGAGTCCTCCACCATGAAAATGGATAATGCTCCTTCTCATTTGGCTCATCAAACAAAGGCAATTTTGTGAGAGTTTTGATGGGAAATCATTAGATATCCACCTTACAGTGCAATAATCTCCTTTCGACTTCTGTTTCTTTCCTAATTCTAAAAAATCTGTAAATGATTTCATTTTGTTCTTCCATTAATAATGTAAAAAAGACTGCATTGATAGTAATAAATTCCTAGTACCCTTAGGTCCACATGGATGGATTAAATGGCTGGTGTTCTTGCTCACAGAATTATTTTGAACTTGATGATGCTTATGTTTTGAAATGAAATTTATCTCTCTTTTAAAGTTTTATCATTTAATTTCATTTTTTCCACAAACTTTTTGAAATCTTCTCATATCTGAGCTTTTGTGGGAGGGAAATCACTGGGTAAATGTATTTTTTCCTTTGACTTTCAACTATATTGGCCATAGATTTAGAATGAATGACTATTTACCCTTTGGCCTTTCAGTTTCTAAAATTTGTTATGGTCTTTTCTGCTATTCTCTTTTTTGCCTTCTACTTGTTCTTCTTGTCTGCTATATTTTACTGACGTTTGGGAGATAGTGAAATAAAAGGCAGGTGTTCAACCTTTGATTTTATGTCTATAATCATATTTAGACTTCATAATAATCAGATGAAATGGGTAATTTTTTCATTTCCCTTCAACAAGGTAAATGAAAAAGAGACACAGAGAAGTCATTAATTTTCTTAAGGTCACAATTACTTTTACATTTGTGGAACTTAGTATTTATCAACGGAATGGAATATATCTTCATTTATTTCTAATCATAGAAAGCATAAGTTCTGTATCAGGATTCTCCTTTCTATAAAGGAAGCTCAATCGGTTATTCCAGAAATTTCTAATGACAGTGGTTAACATTCAAGATGAAATCTATTTGCCATCTGTGATGGCAACTTAGAACTTGAAGAGAAAAATTAATGGCTTAAATTCATTGGACAGCCTATTGTGTCAGATTATTTGTGTACAATTTCAATTTTTCAAGATAATTTTGCAATATAAATTTTTTTCCTCAATGCATAGATAAGTAAACTTAAGTTAAGAAAGGTTAAATAACTGATGATCACTTTGATTCATCAAAATCTATAGTTTGTGATATAATATGGCAGTTAATCATTAGATTCTAGAGTCAAATATAGCTGTGTATAAATCTTGGATGTCATTTACATCTGAACTGGCTCAAGTTCCTTATTATCCTTGTGCATTAATGTCCTCAACTATAAAATAAGGATTTTTGAAATGAGTATTGATGGCGGCAGCAGCCAGTCTGGAGCAGCCACTGTGTGGTTGACAACTGCAGCATGGGAGGCACGGCCAGGGCTGTGCACTCCATAGAGCCTGCAGAAGCTTGGAACAGGCTCAAACCTCGCTGCCCCTTTCAGAGTCGATGGAGCAGGAGCCCTGAACTCCTGGTGCCACTGCAGCCACCCAGAAGCTGCTGTGGACCTGGGCATCCCTGACTCTTCAGGGGTCTGGGCAGACCCCCTTCCCCTGCAGGCTCAGAAGTCCCTGCTCCCACTGCCTGGCCTCCTGCTGCATGTGGCACCACTTCAAGTTCAGAGCAAAGTTGAAGCCAAGCCCGGGTGCTGTTGCAACCCAACTAGGTGTGAACATGCTTGGGGTGGTGCTGAAAACACCAGGACCCTGCCATCTTGGCCTTCTCTTAACTTTGGGCACCAACGAGCATGGGAGGGATCCTGAGGTGAGACTGAAGCTGACTCATTGTGGGCCTGCAGGTGTTCCTTAGCAAGAATATTTTGGGTGCCATGGATAACATGACTAATGGTGACAGGAGATAGACAGGCTCCTGAACAGAGAGGGTTGAGTCACTAGTAACGCTCCACTTTTAAGTCAAGGATGACTTGAAGCCTGGGGTCTGTGCTGTCACTTCCAGGGGAAGTCTGTGGCCTGGAAATGTGAACTTATGGTGCTTTTTTCCAGGCCTGTCCATGCCTGCCTATGGACCAATCAGCATGCACTTCCTCCCTTTTGAGTTCATAAAAAGCCCAAACCCAGTCAGGCTTCCATAGATGTCAGGACTACCAGCAGCAAGAAAGTGCAACTCAATTCTAATCTCCTCTCCACTGAGAGCTGGGCTCTCCTTGGGATGACATGCCTGCAGAAAGGAACTACCTGCTGTGGGTCTCCTGAGAACTCCTCTGCTATTCAATGAAGCTCCTGCCGGCCTTATTCACCCTGCGGTTGTCCACATACCTCATTCTTCCTGGACATGGGACAAATGGCAGGACTGAAAGAGCCATAACACAAACAGGGCTGAAACATGACCCCACCCCTGCCTGCCACACTGTGGGCAATGAGAAGGAGATAAGGAGCTGTGCCCCTTCTAGGAGCCCAGACCTAAGGACTCCCCAAGCCAGGGCTGTGGGATCCTCTTTAGGGCTTTGTGGTTCCAGGTGACTCCAAGCTTCCAGAAACCAGCATGTTTTCCTCTTTCAGACATGGGTGCCTGTAGTAGAAGCCATGTATAGTACATCTAGTCCAGCCACAGCCTCACATGAAGCCAACACCTGTGTTGGCACCTGGAGCTGCTCACCCTACCACAGTAGCTTCTGTGCCTGGCTGTGCATAGTGGCCAGACTCCATGATCAGTCGCCCACACGTTCTTCATCACTTTGTGCCTGGCTCACCCACAGGCAGGTGTGGGATCTGGGCTGGTAATGGGTGCTGAGCATAGTCTGCCAGGCCTAGTGGGCAGAACAAGCCCAGCAGGTGCGGGCAATACTCAAGGAGAAGTTGCCACTGGCCGCTGATGATTCTGGCTGGTGAAGCAACACCCCAAGAATCCTGTGACAGTATGAAAATAATAACTATTAAAAAATAAAACTAATTAAATTACTATATATGATTTAGCCATATTAATCACAAGTATATCACAGGCCTCTGGTATAGTGTCTGACAATTACAGTATGTGTGCATGCACATGTGTGTGTGTGTCATGAATGCATATGATATATTATTTTAACATATATATTTAAGTGATTGCTGTAGCCCAGAGAGAAATGTGTCTCCCTTCTGTTACACAAGCACTGAGAAGTGGTAATTTCAAAAACTGTTAGATTCTGAGAATAAGCATTTATGAATCTGAAATACCATCCTTTAAATGTTGTGCCACATCCAAAACTTCAGTCATTCTGAAAATAGTGATAAGTGAGTGAGGAAAGCATTAGCTTTATTGTTAGCCACATATTACAGTCAGACAGGTGGCAAAGAACCTGCCACCAGAGCTTCCCAGCCTGTCCCTCTCACACTTGGGGCTTATGAAAATTAGTGGAAATGTTTCACTAAAAATGTACTCATACTCTATTTAAAGATACATTTAGCAACACTTTTCCAATAACTTTTTTTCAAGTAATTGTAATGAAAATGTAAAATTAAGATACTCAAACCTTGCCATACATCTATGTATTTAAATTCATTACAACAATCTTGTCTCTTAGGCTTTCAAAAGATATTTGTTACAAACTATATGTATTGTATATGTGTATTTATATGTATGTGTGCATGTTTGTGTAGACACACACACACACACACACACACACACACATAGAAAGTCTATATATACTTTCTCCCTTTAGAATGGCATAAAGCAAGCATTTATTTGGAAATTTGATGTCACTACTTTCTGTTACCTTTGTGACTCATGCAGAAAATTGTAGATTTGGTCAATCCTATCTCTAATACTACATAATTCTTTTGAAGAGGGAATACTAATAGTGAGAGATAAAACAATCATAGAAGGAAAACATTAGAGAAGATAGAATCTTAACTGAGCATATTTTTTCCTCTTCTACAGACACATGAAATTATACTTTTCTTCAAGGGAATAGTACAGAATAGAAAGAATTCATGAATATCTGGACATTTGACCAAAACAATTGTAAAGAAAAAGAATGTTAGTGCTGGATATCTTCTAGACCATGAAGCCTGAGCAATTGAACATCAAGACAGAACATTCTTCTGTAAGCATATAAACAAGGCAGTCATCCTGAGAAGCAGAAATGAGCAAAGTTTATTAGGGAACAAGAGCTAAAACAGATAAAGAAGAGTTACTATTTCCAGGACGTTTTTGCTTCTTCTGGGTATAAATATTACAATTTTTCTGAAGATAAGAGGAGGGTAAATGAGGAAAGGCAACAGAAGTGTATGGTGTTCCAAGTCCCTTACACAAGTGATTACATATTACAATTGCTGTTGTATATTACTGTTGCATAGTTGAAGAAATAGTATAATATATACCCTGACACTAGGTGATAAACCATGATTTTAATCTAGTTCCTCTTGTCTCCAGAATCCGTGTACTTTGCAAATGCGGGTCTGCTTTTCCTTTTCACAAGTGTTTAATAACCCAGAGTAATCTTTGGATCACATGGAAAAGGAAAACATTAGATCCTCAGTATTACATCTTAATTCCAAGTTTCTGAGAAGCTAATATGGAAATTGTTTTTTTCTGAAAATAATATATCTTGATTTTATAATACAATAATATATATTTTATTTTATGTAAATAAAAATGAATGACTTAATCCATAAAATTAAATAATACATGCGTATATTGATGTATTGTGTGTGCGTGTGTGTGTGAGTAGATATATATATATATATATATATCTACTCACACACACAGATATCAGCGTGTGAAAAAGAGGAGCGATGTGGGCTGGAAACGTCTGGCGCGCCTCGCTCTTTGGAGTGCCCTGCAGACGCCCTGCGCAGTCAGCGCTGGCTCAGCTGCGCGGCATTCTGGAGGCGGAGATGGAAGGGATCCGCGAAGCTGGCAACTGGAAGAGTGAGAGGGTCATTATGTCCCGTCAGGGGCCGCACATCCACGTGGGCGGCGTCTCTGGAGGAATCCTTAACTTCTGTGCCAACAACTATCTGGGCCTGAGCAGCCACCCCGAGGTGATCCAGGCAGGTCTGCAGGCTCTGGAGGAATTTGGAGCTGGCCTTAGCTCTGTCCGCTTCATCTGTGGAACACAGAGCGTTCACAAGAATCTAGAAGCAAAAATAGCCCGTTTCCACCAGCGGGAGGATGCCATCCTCTGTCCCAGCTGTTTTGATGCCAACGCCGGTCTCTTTGAGGCCCTGCTGACCCCTGAGGACGCGGTCCTGTCGGACGAGCTGAACCACGCCTCCATCATCGACGGCATCCGCCTGTGCAAGGCCAACAAGTACCGCTATGGCCACCTGGACATGGCTGACCTCGAAGCCAAGCTGCAGGAGGCCCAGAAACATCGGCTGCGCCTGGTGGCCACCGATGGAGCGTTTTCCATGGATGGCGACATCGCACCCCTGCAGGAGATCTGCCACCTCACCTCAAGATATGGCGCCCTGGTCTTTGTGGATGAATAAGATGCCACCGGCTTCCTGGGGCCCACAGGACGGGGCACAGATGAGCTGCTGGGTGTGATGGACCAGGCATATATATATATATATATACACACACACACACACACACACACACACACACACACACACACACACACATAGATGAATATATGGAGGAATGTGTGTACATTTATGTGTGTAAATGTTTTTAAAATATTTCTGGAAATAGCAAGAATACACCACAGCCTTCGGTGAGAGACTTTGCATTCTTTAATGATACTATGCACTTTTGTACTAACAGGAACCAAGTTGTTCTGAAAACTAATAATTGATTCATTGTTTTTGGTAATTTTTATAAAGCTACAGTCTACTCCAATTTGTAGATTATTTTCAGTAAGTAATAGTTGTAACCTCTTTAAAAACCAAAGTTAAAATAATATTTTGAAGATTTGTTGAAGATAACTTTATAATGTTGGCACCATCAACCAACACTATTCCAAGACCTTGACATGCAGTTAGGAGATTAAATAAATGCTTTGTATAATATTATTCAATGACAGCCATTAAGTTGTTATTTAATCACCTATGATAAAGAAAGCTTTACTTTTAGAAAATTTGTGTTCCATTCACTGCATAAATTTTTCTGGAAAAGATTTCTGAGAAAAATGTGTTTTCGTTACTGATAAATTTACAGTAACTGGCATTTGCTTGAGGGGAAGATAATGTTTCCTGGGCAAGAAAGAAAGGATTCTAGGTGAAGGATACTACAGTGCAAAGGTGATAAAATGATGTTTACTGTGAGATTCTGTGACCACTTTGTCTACATGATCTCTGAAGTTTCACATCAAGCTTCCTTCTATCTCAGGGGCTTCCATATAAACGCTTTTCCTTTCAGTCTTATTTATTTCAGTCAGATCCATACTTTTAAAATTTATTTCCCTTAAGATACCTCTTTTCCTTATTTGCTTTTAGCTTTATACCTTTTACATTACCTATTTCCAGTAAAAGCAGAAGAAAATAATTTTCTCCCTCTTTATAACACAATGACTAAAAATAAATGCCACTAGATAAAATTTACGAAGAAAGCTCTTGGGACACATGAGGGTCTATGCTCTAATGCTCATTGTATAGACAAAGAATTACATAAGCACCTTCATTATCTACTTTTATTTGAAAGTGTAAAATGAGTTCTTGGAGAGAAGGAGTTCTATAGCATAATAAAGAGATCATAGATTATGTTTTTATGTAAAGTCTAAACTTGTAAAAATGGTTAAAGATTACATAAAAAATTAGTAATTTTTACACACGGTAATGTGTGTTACAGAATCATATCATAATTGAAGCTCAATTTAGACATATTGATTATTTGGCAGTAACTCTAATTTAAGCTTCTGAAGAGTGTAGGCTGTGATTATATTACTAAATTACCCTGCTTCCAGAACAAAAGCTTTCCTAGTTGTCCCCTTTAGTCTCCCCAGTAATAGAGACCAGCTCACTTTATCTAAAGGTCACCTCCTATATGTTATGTGGATGTTCCCTAAACCATACTTTTTTAAAATAAATAATACTTTTCTTATTTTTCAGGATCTAATGGTCAAATAACTGTGTTTTCTTTCCCATCAGCATCTTAAGACTCTGAATTACTTCACTCATAATGACTTTCCCCTTTCACACTCTAAAGATCTATCAATTTACTAATAAAAATGTTCTTGTGAAGGCTTGGGAATTCCTTATTGTGCTCAAACAATATCTTGGAGGCAAACATTCCCATTTGTCAGATGAATCCTCTTTAAATGGCCTCCTGGCATGTCCATAAATGATACACAATTAAAATATATTGAATAATTGGGATTAATTTTACAAGTCTCAAGGCATTCTAGAAGTGATGAACATGCTCACCAGGCTAATTCATTTATCAGGATCTCGAATTCCTTCTAAGTACTTAATATAAAATATGGACTTTAATTCAGGATATTTGTTATACTAAGCAGATACAGATTTCTTCAGAAATATGTACTTTCCAAACCTTTAAAAAAGAATCCATCAGCATCGTTTACATTATGAGACTATTAATTAAAATTTTAATATTAATCTGTATGTATGCATTTATATCTGCAATGAAATATACATTTTTTCTAACTAAAACTCACTAGCTGAGGTCTGAACTGATTGTAATTATAATCCAAGTTTTACTTCTGATACAATGATAAATGCTTAAATAATTCTATCCAATGCAAATACTACTATACTTTTTGTATTTTCAATAATATATACCTATAAAATTGCTGTATCCTTTTTCCTCAAGCAAAAAATGTGGACAAATTTGCAATTATGAATTATAGTGCTTCTCTTGAATTGATTGATAATATTATACAATAATTCATATTCTGTGACAATTTCAGTTACTTAACATTGAAAATACATAAATATATGTACATAAAATATATATTTCTCCTCTTAAAAATGTGCATCCGAGTGTGCATTCTTTCTTTGCTATTCAGCAGTTCTGTGATACATAATTCATTCTCTATGTCCCATCAATTCCCATATAGATTTGCTATGACCAAATTTATGATATGAGTTTAATGGCTTCTAGAAGCTAGTTTGCCAATGCCATGGTTGTAGAAATGGCTTCATGGGAATTTTATGATCCCTGACCACCAACTAATATACCAGAAAATGCAGGCTATACTAAGTTTGTTTCTTGACAAGCAGGGAGGAACAATATAGAGTAATTGAAGAAATTATTTGAAAATGTATTTCCTAATCTTCTGTAAAATGCTTCCGTTATGTCAAAACTAAGATAGACATTAGAGAAGACCTTTGAGATATGCATTAATTTATGGTGTTGTCAAGAAGTAGTTTAAAAGTAGGAACCTAAAAGACAAAAGTGTTTTTCGCTTGAATTTATAAAATTTATTTTTTAATAATTTTATCTCAAATTTCACATATTAGAGGGTATGATGCGTCCAGATTTATTTATTTATTTATTTGTGTGTGTGTGTGTGTGTGTGTGTGCGCGCGTGTGTGCGTGTATGCACATGCATGTGCCCAAATGTATATTTTGCAGATATACATTTGGAAGTTGAAGTTCTAAGGATGTGGATCCAATTCGTGATTCCACCATCTCTCATTGGAAATGGTCACTTGTGGACTGTGCATGTGAACAGGAATGATAACCAGAGAAACCTGGTTTTCTAATGTCCACAACATCATAACTTCATATTGTAGCTTATTTATGCCATTCACTTTGGAATCTCATTTCTTTCTCATTTCAAATTTGGTATAATCCTAATCAGAGCTGTCACATGATGCTGTACGTGTTCATAATTCATCAGTGTTACAAAGATAGCTTAAAGAGCACTTATTTTGCTTTAAATTGAACATTATGTACATTGTAAATTTCTATTTGTTATGTATAGAAGTGCTGATATTTAAGAGCGTCTCTAGCATTTTTTTTTGTTTTCTTCCCATTTACACTTATCTCTCCTGTCACTGATAAAGCTCTCAATGATGATTACATCACACGCATTCCTACAAGTTCTAGCTACTGAATTTTATACTATTTACTCATATGTATTTATAACATGTACCCTTTAATCACTTCCACTGTAATCATCAACTTAAATTTTTTTACCCATTGCCATGCCATGATGTGCAAAAGTTCATTATAGCAGGGAAATGATAATTTTTATATTAATGATTATAGCTAACAGAATTGTTCAATTCAGTATTCCTCAAATTAGTAAAATATATATTTAAAATTTCTTTATCTTAAATATTGGGTTAAACTATAATTCATTTTTAATTTTTAATTTTATAGATTTAGGGGGTACATATTTAGATTTATTACATGGATTTATTGCATGATAATGTAGTTGGGCTTTTAATATAACCATCACCTGAATAGTGTACAGTGTACCAATTAGGTAATTTATCATCCCTCTCCTAAACCACAATCATATTAGTGTGTAGAAATTTTCATTTTGCTAGCCTTCCTTATATATTCACATTAGGAAAAAAACTTTGAATACAGTTAGCAAAAGCAACTATAACCAAGAAACAAGTAGGAAAAGAAGATGTAGTATTCATATTAACTTGTTCATTAAGTTGATGGGATTTTATTAACAAATATCTAAATAGATATCTCATACTGTGTACATGTTATGAATTAGGTAGTATGTGAAACACTTATATATGTTATCTCAACAATCTTCCTATGAGTGGGTCATTGCAACCTTTATGTTATCAAAACTTAAAACTCAGCCTAAATCATATGACTAGTAAGGAGGAAAGCTAAGGTTAGAAATCAAAGAGGTAGGCCCTTTCTGCCCACTTAATATGCTTTCTTGTCCGATATATGTTACTGACTTCACACACATAAGATGCCAAGTCTTTGATGTTGAATATCTTTCAAAATAGTGGTTAAGGGAAGGATAATTAAACTGACATTTACTTCAATGCTTTAAAAAATCAAGGTATATTTCTATGTTGACTTGAAGTATATTTTATTCTACATCCAATTGGATGGAAGAACTGCCTGAGCTTATGAGTACTCACTATGTCCTCACTTACGTAGATCTTCTGCTCTCCGGCTCTCTTGGAGAAGATTCCTTGACTCTAGCTTTCCTTTAATCAGTCAATATACTTTCTTAGTATCTACTAGTCATTTTTCTTCATCCATATTACCCTTATCAATGTGATCCCTGTACCAGGTGCTGGTGAAGAAATAGTGCACAAGACATTAAGTGAGGTCTCAGGTCCCTTGTTTTCCAATTAAATTAACATAGTAACATAAGTTTTATCAGAGAGAAAGATGTAGTAGAGCAATAAAATGGCTGGAGGAAAAATTGGGTAAGTGTATGGTAGACAGAAGAGTAGAAAGGGAGATCTTTTCTATTGATGAGTAGTTTACATTACCCTGGTATTTCTCCTAGGTACTGTGTGCCTTTCCAAAATATTACCCTATTTCTGCTCTTACTACAGTTTCCTTAGTGTTAATACCTGCATTTGCAGTTTCCAAAATTCCATGTGATATTAATGAATTATTGGAATTTGTTTATCATTTTATATATTACAAATGAA